ACACGTCATCAAGTTACAAACATCCTCACCGTTCAACGGACACGACTTCTTTACCTGGAGCTTCGAGTTCGAGCTGCTGATGGAGGCCGCGCATCTTCTGGGATACTTCAACGGGTCCCTGCCATTCCCAAGCAACGGCACTGGAAAGGAACAAGAGATCTTCACGTATCAGTCGCTACTGGCGTATACAGTCCTCCTGCGGAACCTGTCACCACAAGAGCAGCAGAGCATCAGAACGTATCGGAGTTATGGAAACTCCGCGGAACTCGCATGGCATCATCTCAAATGCCTCTACCAAGCAAACGACAGCGTGACACAAAGCAGACTCATGCAACAGCTGACAACAATACAGATGAAGACCGGGGAAAAGGCGATGCAGTATATGAGTCGCTGCCAGACCCTGCGCGACCGCCTGCTTCGGTGCGGAGGAACGATCACTGAAGAAAGCTTCGTCACACTTGTCCTCGCCGGGCTCGGACCAGAATGGAGAACCACACGATCGCTTCTTCGCGCCCACGGAAGGATCTCGGAGATGCACCTCTGCGCCGAGCTTCACGCTGAACAACAGGAGATGGATCTGTTCGAGGAAAGACAACCAAGGAAGCAACAGCAGTTAGTCTTCTACACTCAAAGAAGAAATGACATAAACTACAACCGACGCAGCAAGCAAGATCAACGCGACAACCGAGGACTCACCATCGTGCCGCCGTTCTGCCACAACTGCCAGACTTCCGGACACTCCAAAGTCAACTGCAACCGCCCTCGCGTTTACCGAGCAGCAGACCCACAAGTTGCTTCCACTCAAGCAAGTTCCCCAAGGCGCTCTTCAACATCTGCACAAGGGACACCAAATATCATCAACTGCATGGTACACATCGACAACTGCGCACCCAGATCACCACCCACTTACGCACCAGACGAAGAGGAATTCCCGCCGCCGCGCTCACAAGGACTTCAGGTCAACCCGACATACGCTGCGGTCGCCAACGCCGAACCCACCGGGCGAAACACCTGGTTCTTGGACAGCTGCTGCGGTCAACACATGTGCTCCTCGGGACGCTTCGTACAACAGGAGAAACGACTCAACCGCGACGTCGTCATCACCGTCGCCAACAACGAAAACCTGAAGACAAACAGACAGGGCGTGGTTCAGTTACAATCAATGGAGACGAATGTCATACTTCAACTCAACAAGGTGCTCATTGTCGACAATCTGGGATACAACCTACTAAGCGTAAGCCAACTAATGGCCAAGGGGATTCACCTGGAGTGCGACTCTTACTCCAACGAGTTCCGGCTTTACCACGGGAAGGGCGGCCTCTTCATCGGTCGTGCCCTCCTGAAGTCCGGTGTCTTCGTGTTGGACTTCGTCCCCGACCGCGGAACTGCCGACAACGATGGCATCGTATCGTTCGCCGCCTGGACTCACCCGCCGGATCTTGACCCCGACTTCGACAGTGACGGCTTCTGGCACTCCAACACCATACCTGCAGCAGAGAGAACACGAGCATTAGCAGTTATCAGACAAGAAAGACAAGTACCCGCAAGTGTCCCAACAAAACCATCACCTGCAGTATCAGCAGCAGGACCCAGCCGAGTACCACCACCATCAACACGAGGACCGCCAACGGAAGCAGACCAACTTATGCCCGCCACACGAGAAGCTTGTCGAAGTCCCGCCTCAGTCGTCGCGTTCTTCTCCAACGCCGACATCTACCACCGCTCGCCCGGCCACCGCGCTCCCGACGACATCTGGCACCAACGTCTCGGACATCCTGCAAACAGCACGATACTTCAAACAATCCAAGCAGAGGTGTTAGAACGCAACGCCCTTCTGACGACGAACGGCCAGGAACTCCGACGACCACGCGCACGGTGTTTCACATGCCCCGAAGCAGATCTTCCTCATCAACCTTTCCAAGCCCATCACAATCCAAGCGCACCCACTTACGCTCCGATGGAAAAAGTCTACAGCGATATTCTAAACATGCCTCGAGACGACACCGAAGCCGACTTCAACTACGTCATCACGTTCATCGACGCCGCAACCAGATACGTCTGGCACTTCAATCTCAAAACGCGCGATCAAGCCTTCGAGGCCTTCACCACATGGCTTCCAATCGCCGAACGAGAGTCAGGAACCAAACTCAAGAGTTTCCAGTCAGACGGTGCACTGGAATACCAGTCACAACGCTTCAGGACCTATCTCGCGGAAAGGGGAATCCGACGCCTGGTGTCTCTGCCCTATGCTCACCAGCAGCAGGGGGTAGCAGAACGCATGAACCGGACCTTGCAGACGACGATGCGAAAACTGCTTCTGGGGATGAGGCTGCCCAACGCACTGTGGCCAGACGCGATGACACATGCTGTTCACCTGCACAACCTGCTGTCCTCGTCATCACTTCCCAACAACGCATCACCGCACCTGTTGTGGACAAGAAAAAGGGGCAGCACAAAATTACTCCGCGTTTTCGGCTGCATGGTACAGTACAGACCCCACACAGCCCGAGCAGGACGCTTCTCACAAAGAGCTCGATGGGGACTACACCTCGGCATCGCAAAACATTTTCACGCGTGGAAAATTCTCGACATACAAGACAAAAACACGGTGGCATCACGCGATGTTATCTTCTACGAACGACTGACGCTGCAGCATTACCTGGACAACCTTGCCAACACACAAGACCCCACCGACGGCTTCGCGGGCCTTCGCTCCTTCGCTGACCATACTGCCGAGGCTGACGCAGCAGAAGAAGACGTACCTGGAGCCTCGGAAGCTGCCGGACCACTCCCATTCTGTTCCGTACCTGTTCCACTCGATGAAGAAAATCCCCTCGATAGCAACAACCTCGACACCTTTTACCACTTCGCCGACCAAGGTTACGCTACACCTCACCCCGTCGACACGAATATTTCGGAACGCATCGGCCCCAATTTCTTACCTGACCCCGAAGACGGTGACGAAGCAGCTTATTCCGGGAATGAAAATTCCCCTCGACACACGCCCACGGGACTCCAGATTCTAGGCCTCTGGGTCTCCGTCCAGAATCCGCCGCCGCCTTCTCCGCGAGAGCCTTCAACGTTGTCGCAGGCTCTGGGGGGGAACATAAGGCAAGATGGAAGGAAGCAATGGAAAAGGAGTTAAAAGCTCTGCAAGACCGAGAAACATGGAAACTGGTACCTGCAACGAGCATCAACGGAAAAAACGTTCTCTCGGGGAAATGGGTGTACCGCATCAAGACCAACTCAGACGGTTCCATCGAACGATTCAAAGCTCGATGGGTCGTACGAGGCTTCGACCAACGATACGGAGCCGACTACACAGAAACCTTCGCTCCAGTCTCCCGTCACACCTCATTACGCATCCTACTCGCCGTCGCGGCCACGAAAAAACTGCCACTACGCCAAATCGATGTCGCGAATGCATTCCTATACGCACCTGTGGACGCTGAGATCTTCGTCGAACAACCCCACGGATTCATCAACGATCCCACGAAAATATGCCGACTGACAAAATCCCTATACGGGATCAAGCAAGCCCCGCGGCTCTGGCAGCAGCATCTCCACGGCCGTCTCGCAAAGATCGGCTTCCTACAATTACCGCATGACCAAGGGATGTACCGACTGCAGAAGGGAAGAGATTATGTTCTGCTCATCGTCTACGTCGACGACCTGCTCTACATCGGCTCCACTATCGACATCGCCACCTGGTTCGAAGGGGAGCTGAAAGAAGATTTAACTCTCACGGTGTCCGACGAAGTTACTCAGTACCTAGGACTGAACATCGTCGAAGACGACACGGCGTTCTACCTACACGCTGGAAAGTACTCAAGCACCGTCGCGAAGAAATTCGGTCTAGCACCGACTGCGGTCCCAACTCCCTACCGCTACGGGAACAACAGTAGCGCCTCCACAAAACTCCCCGCGAAACAAATCCAGGAGTATCAACAGAAGCTCGGCTGCCTACTATTCGCAGCAGTAACCTGCCGACCCGACCTATCCTATAGTGCGAGTCAGCTGGCGACACATCTGAAGCAGCCGCAACAGGAAGATCTCGAAGAACTCAATCGAGCGCTACTCTACTTCGTCTCCACGCCGACGATCGGGCTCACCTACAGCAAGACAACAACACCGTCCGTACAACTACTCGGATACGTCGACGCCGACCACGCGGGAGACAGCGAAAATCGACGGTCTAGGACGGGCTACATCTACCGACTAGAACCTATCGGAACTATCTCCTGGCAGTCGAGCAAGCAGGAGTTAATCGCACTATCCTCGGCTGAAGCAGAGTATATCGCCCTTTGTACTGCGACCAAGGAAGGACTCTACCTACGAGAGTTACTCGAAGAAGCGAAGATCGCGACCCTGCCCGCCTTCTCACTCCTCTGCGACAACCAATCTGCGATCAAAATCGCGAACAAGGACGGCTTCGCCAACCGAACCAAGCACATCGCCCTGCGGTACTTCTTCGTCAAGGATGAAATCGCGAAGGGGAGACTTCAACTCAGTTACTGCCCGACGACAGAAATGGCCGCAGATTATCTGACGAAGAAATTGGCGAAAGCAAAATTCGACTACTGCATGCTCCTAACCGGGCAAACAAACGTCACCGGATCTGAACACTCCAGCACTCCAGAAACGAAGGGGAGTGTTGGAAATATCTCAAGGACTTAAGCGTTTCTGAAGTGTAACACTGTACTCGAGGAAGATTACAGGGGAGCACGCGAGTCAACGGAGGTTACACGAGGGGGCGGACAAAGAATGCGAAAGGACTCGAAAGGTCGCAACTGGAGGTTGCGACTGACCGTTACAACATCACGGATGGTAACCGAAGCGGCAATCGAGTCGCTGTGCGACTCGATAAACCGTTCCTGTAACTGTATTCTACAACTGCTTTCTTATCTTCTATATATTGCTGTATGCTTGTTTCTTTAATCAATCACTTGTTCTCACATACTAGTACAAGGGTTCAACTGCCTCAACTTCCGCTGCACTACTCCAAGTCTCAAGTCTCTACAAGCTGGGACTTAGTCTCTGCAAAAGATCCTAAGGGCTTTTTCTCAGCCCAACAATATCAATGGCTCTTTACAACACGAGCTTCAGCCTAAGGCAAAAGTTACCGTACATGTCTTCCGAACCCCCAAAAGATGCCCTCTCCTTTGTCTATGCTATCAATGGCTTCCTCCAACTGACCAAAATCTCAACGCCGCCAAGCCCAATCCATCCAAAACAAAATTGAGGGGAGGGGTGAGGTGTGGAGGTGGTGGTGGTGGGAGCACGGGAGGGTGAGGCTAGACGGGTGGTTTGCGTATCAGGAGCAACGCAAGGCATCGACTCCCTACTGCTGGGGGGCGGACTCAGCAGGGAACGTGAGCCTTTTCATGTGCTTCTCATGCGGGTACTTGAGCTTGGTGGCAAGCCCTGCGGCCTCGAGCAGCTTGATGGTGTACCAAGTCATGTCCACCTGGTGGTCCTCCAGCCCGTGCCGGCACGAGTACTGGAACGCGTGGTGGTTGTTGTGCCAACCCTCGCCGAAGGCGAGGATACCCACCCACCTGTCGTGGCGGTTATGGGAGGTACACAGGGGGGTCCAGGGGAGAAAAGAGGGTTATTCTACAAGGGAAAGCACAGTGGAGCGGTGCAACATTCATGTCGAGGGGGGAGGGGAGGGAGAGGGGGGTGGAGGCGGGCCGTTTGGCTGAAATTTGACAATGTCAGTGCTCCTGCGGCTTTCTGGCCAAGGATTTAACGCCCTGCTGAACCTCCACACCCTAGTTCAGGCACTAGGGATCTCATAGTGCAAACTTGGATGAGATCCCTAGTTCATCTTGTGGATCTCATGTCTGCACACACACTCCTTCTGCTCATCAACTGGCCAAAAAGCTGAAGTCATCACCCAGCCTCTCCTTTAAAGCTCACGTGGCTCTCAGATTCGGTAAACTTGCATAGGTGTCAGCTCCGCTACCTCTCCTCTGCAGCATGCAACACATGATGTGATACAAGCCGGGCAGTGGGGGATGGATGCAGGCAATGGACTCCACTGCAGGGTCTCACCAGTTGTTGCGAGAGAGGTCGCCCGTGTTCCAGGATTGGTAGCCCCACACGTGGGAAGCGGAGTTTACAAACCACGTGATGTGGTACACCCACACGGCGCGCACGCCCTGTGAAAAACAGACGGACACAAGTCGTGGGGAGAGCGTACAGCCGTTCATACCACGACCAACAGAAGGCTCGAAACTCGATCGCGGCTGAAGAGGACATCCAGTCTAAACGGGGAAGAACAGAACGGAAAGGGGATTTGAGCGATACGCGAAAGGCGGCAGGAGACGAGGACTTACGAAGCCCCAGACGACCCAGGGGAAGCCGCCGAGAGCGTAGAGCAGCAGCACGGAGGCGACGATGTGCCACACGTAGGTGGCCTCGATGAAGTCGTAGAAGGGGTCGTTCTCCATGTCCGCGATGTTGTTGCGCACGCCCACCTGCGGCCACGAATCAATTCAACGCAGCAAAAATGCACGAATGCTCTATTAGCCGTTGCAAATCAATTCAATGCAACAACGGGTCAGTAGAAATGTTCACTCGTGATAAGAATACAAGCCATGCATCTTCACGTCGCTGATCGGGTCGGTAGTTACGTTCGGTATCTTGTTCCTCACACCTCCTGTAATCCTCGATGCACGAAACTGGCCGCCTAGGTTGTTCTTACTTCTACCTGTGCGATCCGTTTATTTTGTTTCTACTTCAAATCTGCGACGTGAACGTGATGAGCCTATGTGCTGTGAGACATAATGCATCTAAGGAACTGTTTTCACGCGCTGTAAGGGACTGTTTTCACGCGCTGTAAGGGACTGTTCTCACGCGCTGTAAGGGACTGTTCTCACGCGCTGTAAGGGACTGTTCTCACGCGCTGTAAGGGACTGTGTCTCACGCGCTGTAAGGGACTGTGTCTCACCCGCTCCTGCGTGGCGACGTCGTCCAGCAACCACCCCATGTGGCTGTGCCAGAAGCCCTCGTACGGGGTGTGCGGGTCGGCGGGCGTGTCGCAGAAGCGATGATGGTACCGGTGAGCGCTCACCCACTCCTTGGGGTCACCCTGCACGACGCGAACAGCCGTTTGGGAAGGAAAGGGTAGAAAGGGCACGCGAAGGGTGAGAATACGGGAAGAAAAACTTCACACGAAAGCGTCACATGAGGAGTAGTTCATGGCATGCTAGCAAATCCGTGGAAGTAGGAGGCGCAACGACTGCATACCTGAACGGCCTGAACGCCGCAGTAGGCGAAGGTGTACTCGAGCCACTTGGGAAGCGTGAAGGAGCGATGCGACAGGTTGCGGTGGTACGACAAGGTGATCCCGAACATTCCTGAAAAAAAGGTGGTTTGAACAAGACGAGCGGGAAACAAGGGAAGCCAAGGCTCAGTAAAACCGCCAGTTAATGAAGCGAGCGCCAGATTCAACGGTTGACTGAATTGCAAGGTCTCGAGTTGAGCGAAAAGGGCTTGCCTGCCAGTGAAGCAGACGCACCTGTGATCAAGTAAAGCCCGACGAAGAGGCCGAAGTTCTCCCAGGAGAAGGTAGCCGGCGCGAAGAGGCACAGGCCATGGACGAAGAGCATGTACACGAGGTAGCTCCAGTCCTTGGCCGTGTACTCCCGGTTGAAGAAATACGGTCGCTTCCGTTGCGCGATCACGTCGGAGAACCACACTTGCGCTGACTCAAACGGGGACTGCTCTGCCGCGGATGGCTTGGGGGGAGCCTCCACGGCGCAAGAAATTTGTCGTCTTTGTGAAGGCAGGCCGACGGTCGGAGCCGCAGAGGGTTTGAAGGATCGGATGAATGGGGTGGATAGAGTCGGCAATCTGGGGGACGCACGCAGCGTCGACGAGGCCAGGGGTGCCAGGGCTCTGGCGCCGGTCGCAGCGCGCACGGCGGTTCTCTGGATCTCCGCTCCTCGGGTTAGGAAAGACCCTGACGGGAGGACGGCCGCCGATGTGGTCGCCATGATTCCGTCTAAGGAGACCGATTAGCGGCCTTCTGTGTGAGGGATGCCCAAGTCAAAGGCCTCTACAAGAGTGATGATCTGGAGAAGGCTGAACTCGAGATTCAGACTCACACAGGTAGGAAGTAAGAGTGATTAGCTCGAAGGTTTCAAATGAGCTGAATGATCGAATTAGCTGAGAAAACTCTGCTACCGTTGTTTTATTCACGCTGTCAGTCGGTCATTCCTCAACCAAGGGACCTCTGCTCTGCTGGGCTTCTTTTGCGTGGAGTTGACGGAGGCTCCTCTCGCAGCATGAAGATTACCGAGACGGGTATGCGTGCCTCGGGGAGCTCCCCCCAACCTTGGGATTCCCACCGAACCTGCGGACGAAACACGAGGATGTTCCGCAATCGCATCAGCGACATCTGGCCGTTCATCGAATTGACGGAAACCGTCGATCACAGCGCAACTTTGCTGGCTCAGCGCAGGTCGATGACGTTCTCATGTTGTTGGTGGCTGTAGAATGGGTGGTCCAAAATCTCCAGGTTTGACGTGTTTCGTGAAAATAGGACTTGCTGGATTCACCAGTCAGAGGGGAGAGGATGTGGCGAACCGCGATTATGCGGTGTGGCCAGGCTCTGCCTTGCTGGTGAAAAAGGGTTGGCGTGTAACAACCCTCACTGCCCCCCCCAGGGTCCCCATGCCCCCCACTATGTACCCGAGATATTTTGCTGGTAATCCGTCGGTGTCCGTGGCGACCGCCAGTGTGATTTGTGAGGCTTGGATCATGTCGATTTCCTCGATCCAATGCCAACTTCGCTTTCGGCGTGAGATGCTACGGCAAATCGACATGAAGGCCCACTGCACCGGAGAAGCGTACAGCTGCGCAATTCGTTGTCGCGTCGCCTTCACTACGATTGGATCACTGGAAACTGAGATCATCCGCGTTTGAAGATAGACCACTTTTAAATGCTGGCACTAGTGCTCCATCCATGTTCAGCAGCAGCATACATGACAATGCTTACAGAGCTGCGTCGCGATTGAATCCCGTGAAGACATGTGTGTTTTTTTTTTGTCATCCAGTCGTCATACATTTTGGAGCAGATACGCACACACTGTATCAGCATTCCACAAGCGAACAAGACGGTACAAACGAGTATGCTGGTTTGGAAGTCTCAAGGCTCGGCAGCTCCTTCGACTCCCTCCCGCACGCACAACCACCAAGGCGACCAGCCAGTCGACCGAACAAAGCGACCCAATGGAGCGACTGAAGTCACAAGCTTCACCAGGCTCAAAACACAAGCAACAGTATTCATGAGGCAATGGCGGATTGCGTAAGGAGAAGTTCACAACACTACCTTTTCCCGGTTCGGAAATATGTGATGCGAGGGCTGCAGACCACAGCACTTAAGGTTTACCCGCTCTTGCCTATTAAGCTCTGCCATTAGGGTTTTATAGTTTGTTCTTTCTAGGGCGAGGGGAGTGCATTCGTGCGGAACTGCGCAAGAAAGTCCCAAGCCTACTGCGCAAATCACGCCATGCCTGCGCCGCGTGTGGCCCATAAGGCTCCTCAACAACGAGCAGGGCGAGCCGGCGGGCGAGGTTCGGAGGAACACCAAAGCGAAGTGAGCCCATCAGGGTCGGGGTTTAAGAAGAAAGGCGGCGGTTTGGAGCAACCGCATTTGGCCAAGCATGTTTCAGCCAATGGACGGAAGCCACCTGGACACGAGGCTAAGGCGGGAAGCTCATCAGCACCAGCAAACGGTCATATCCGAGGCAACAACGTGCTAAGTAACGCGGTTTTCAGGCACAGCCACCATTACACTTACGACGGCGTGGGGGATGCCGCGCAGACTCGCGTGGGGGGCTCGGCAAGCAGCGTGAAGCCCGGCAGCTTGAAATCCGCCAGCGTGAGATCCGGCATGGACGCGCTGTACGCGGGAGGCGAAGGCCTTCCCCGGCGGATCAACTTCCTCCCCGCGCGCCACGCCGACGCGCACTCCGCGCTCCCCGTGGATCTCAAGCCGCTGAATGCGGCGGATCCGAGCCGCGAGCCACGTGGCAGCCAGCCAGTGGGTGGAGCGGAGGGCGTGGGCCCGGGGGAGGGGAAGCAGGGGAGGCGGAGGGGAGAGAAGGAGCGGCGGGAGTCGAGTGAGAGGGAGCGGGACGGGCTGGATGGGAGGCTGGATCGATCGGATGTGGCGGTGGAGTGGCGGGAAATACGGCCCATTGTAAGCTCTCTAGCAATCCGTGCCAATGCAGGGCCCGCGTGTCTCACTGTACCCGTTAATTGCTGTTCCGTGGGGTCGGTAGCACACACGCATTTGTTTAATTGGACATGGTGTGCGACCCTGTCCCCTGTCCCCTCCCCTCTCGCCCCTCCCCCGCGCCCATCCATCACGCTTCCTCCTCTTTGCTGCGTGCGCTGCATGGTGTGCATTGCATGGTGTGCATTGCATGGTGTGCATTGCATGGTGTGCATTGCATGGTGTGCATTGCATGGTGTGCATTGCATGGTGTGCATTGCATGGTGTGCATTGCATGGTGTGCATTGCATGGTGTGCATTGCATGGTGTGCATTGCATGGTGTGCATTGCATGGTGTGCATTGCATGGTGTGCATGCTCTGCATGCTCTATGTGGTCGCAGGGAGCGGGCCTGAGCAACCTAGGCAACACGTGTTTTATGAACTCCGTGCTACAGTGCCTCACATACACCCCACCACTCGCTAACTACCTCTCGCAGTCTCCGCACTCCGCTAAGTGTAAGCGCCCCTCATCTCCTGTCCCTTTCTCCTCCCTCTTCCTCTTATGGCTGCTCACGTGTGCCATTGGTTTGTTGGGACCACATTAGGACAGCAGGACTCTGGACATTGCCATCCATCCTGGTTTTCTCATCCTTACTTGTATTGTATCCATGTAGTAAGTTTTACTTGCATGCTTGTCAATCGCTATAATCACACAACGCTCCCCACTGTCACTGTCATTCTCGCTCAATCTTTTCCGTGTACTCTGTGTGCAGGTTCGGTGCCGGGGTGGTGTGCGCTGTGTGAGATGGAGAAGCACGTGCCAAGGGCAGTGGGGTCCACGGGCAAGGTCGTCTCGCCCACAGGCTTCGTGCGAAACGTCAGAAGTACGAGCTGTTGGATTGAGCCTCATCTGGGTCCCTCTTCTCTCCTCTTCTCTCCTCTTCTCTCCTCTTCTCTCCTCTTCTCTCCTCTTTATTCATGTCGCGACGTGTTACAGACGATATACGTAGTAAGACCAAAGCATGGCAATAATCAAACCACACATTCCCAGTTTCCGCTGCCCACTCCCAACACCGAGTGCAAGCGTTGCCTGCCAGACGTTTCCCCATCCCTTACACCCCACGCCCAACGTCCGCCCTTCCCACCCATCACAGGCATAGCTCGGTCCTTTAAAGCCGGTCGGCAAGAAGACGCACACGAGTACATGCGTTGCCTGCTAGACGCTCTCCACCGATGCTGCCTGCCCCCCAAACGAGCCTCCGCCTCAGGCTCGGGCGCCGCACCTCCTCTGGACCCTGCGTTCGCCTCCAGGCTGATGAACACGTTTGTGCACCGGACCTTTGGAGGGTACCTGTGCAGCCAGGTGCAGTGCACAGTGTGTGGGTACTGCTCCCGAACCTACGACCCGTTCCTGGACCTCAGCCTCGAGATTGTCCGAGCCGACTCAGTGACCAAGGCTCTGCATCGGTTTACATCTGAAGAGGCTCTGGATGGGGCGAACAAGTATAAGTGCAGGTGAGGTGATTTCGAGTCTGCTTTTGAGCCGACTCAAAAGGAGGCTCTGGTCAGGGCGAACAAGTATAAGTGCAGGTGAGGTGGTGGGTGCTGGGGGATTGATTCTGGGCTGATTTTTGTTATTGCCTCACCTCTCTTCCCCTCCTTCCCTTCTCCTCCCCTCCCTCCTTGTGGTGCATTTCTAGTGACTCACACACCTCTTTCTCTCCTATGTCCGTGTCCCCTGTCCCTTCCCAAACCCCCATCTCACCAGCAAGTGCAGGAAGAAGGTGCGGGCGCTCAAGAGCTTTGCAGTGGAAGAAGCACCGCCCATCCTGACAGTGCACCTGAAGCGCTTCGCTGCCTTCACGGGGCGCAAGCTCGACAAGCACGTGGCGTTCGACCCCTCGCTGGACCTCTCGCCCTTCATGACCGCGCCCTCCCCCTCCCCCTCCTCCCCCCACTCCACTGCTGGCTGTAGCAGCAGCAGCATTACCAATACCAGTGCCAGTGCTAGTGGTGGCGGCAGTAAGAGCAGCAGAGGCAGCAGCAGCAGCGGTAGGGGTGGGAAGTACAGTCTGTACGGCGTGTTGGTGCACGCGGGGTGGTCAACGAACTCGGGGCACTACTACTGCTACGTGCGGGGGCCGTCAGGCACATGGAGCTCCATGGACGACTCACGGGTGCAGCAGGTGAGCGAGAAAACCGTGCTCCAGCAACGGGCGTATCTCCTCTTCTACGTCCGAGAACCCACGGCCCATGCTGCTGCTAATGCTAATGCTGCTGCTGCTGCTGCTGCTAATGCTGCTAATGCTGTTAGTGCGAATACTGCTGCTGTTGCTGCTCGTCCCCCTCCTACTGCGCCTTTTCCTGCTGCTGCTGCTCCTGCTTCCACTGCTGCTGGTGCTGCTGCTGCTGCTGAGGTGAAGGTGGGAAAGAAGGGCAAGGCGGCAGCGCCACATGTAGAGGCGCTCATGCACATGCAGGCGCATGCACAGGCGCAGTCACAGGCACAGCCACAGGCACAGGCACAGGCACAGGTAGAGGGGATGGCTGTTGACGAGAGAAAGGGGAGCGCAGCTGAGAGGGCGGAAGGGGGAGAGGGCGCGAGGGAGGGGAGGGGTGAAGGGGAGGGGGTGGTGGAGGGGGCGAAGGAGAAGTGGGATGAAGGGGAGGGGCGAGCAAGGCTGGCAGAAGTGTCGAGTGGGGAGGAGAGCAGCGAGGAGGAGAGGAAGGCTGATGGGGAGGCAGCAGCTGGTGACGGTGGTGATAGCGATGGGGATGGTGATGATGACAGCGATGATCCTGATTGGACGTTGGGCGATGAGGGGGAAGAGGATGCAGGCAACGAGGAGGGGGGGAGAATAGGGGGGAGGGTTCAGGGCGGCAGCGGGAGGGACGGCGCACCTCGGGGTCATGGGTGGCAGCAGTTGGACAGATGCTACGGTTGTTACCTGGCTCCAGGGAATCTAGAGCGGCCCTCAGGAGCAGGAGCAGCCCCGGCAGCAGCACCAGCTTGGGAAACAGCTTCGGCAGCAGGGGATGGGGGGCAACGAGCAGCAGTCTGGGCAGCAGCGGTGGCAGCAGCAGCAGGGAGAGGATGCTGCGGCTCATGTCCCCCCTCGTGCCGCTGCCTTTTTCTGGCGTGAGGGGCGGGCGAGAGGAGCTGGTTTTTCCCCTGGGAGGGCACAGGGGGCGGAAGAGGAGGAGGGAGGCTATGGAGGGGTGGGGCCGTGGTGTGGGCTGGCAGGCGAGCGGAGAGATGGAGATGCGGGAGAAATGGGAGGGAGGAAGAAGATTGGGGAGGAGAGAGGAGGTGACGGTCGCGGAGGGGGAGAAAGGGGAGGTGGAAAAGGAGGGGGGGGAGGAGGAGGGCAGGAGAAGGCCACAGGGGGCGATTGTGGCTCAAGTGATGAACGAAATGCAAATGGAGGAGGGGGAGGTGGGGGAGGAGGAGGAGGAGGAAGGGGAGGCGGTGATGATGGCAGGGCCAGGGATCGTGGCTCGGGGGGTGGGGTCGTCAGAGGATGACTCGGAGGGGTGGAGCAGTGGGAGCGAGAGCGAGGGCGATGGGGATAAAGGAGGGGAGGACGGGCGACAACAAGATGAAGAGGAGGAGGACGAGGACGGAGTAGAAGGAAAGGGCAATGGGCAGCGAGTGCAGACGGGCCAGGGGAATGGCAGCGGGAGCAAGAGCTTGGATGGCAACAGCAGAAGCAGGGTGGTGACGTTTGGGGGGTCGGATGCGGTGTGGATGATGAGGGAGGGCGGGCAGGAGGCGCCCGTGGGGGCCGGCGGACTGGCAGGCAGCCAGTGGGGCGATGGTGAGTGCACCTGGGGATTGTGGTCGTCTTGTGTTGCAAATACGAGGGATTCTGGGCACCCCAACGAGTGAGTGCAAAGGGGCAGGTGAAGCGGGGTGGTAGGCGGAGGGAGACAGAAGGAGGGCTAGGGGCGTAAAAAAATCACATTATGTCCTGTGGCTTGGCATGGCCCATGCCAGAAATTCGACAAGGCTGCTGCTGAGTAAAATACATCCAGCAGCAAGCTTTCAATCTCCTTTTCTATTTCTGGGAGTTTGCCTTTTCTCATGTCTCTTCTCTTCTGTGCGTCTTTATCTTTTGCTTGCCTTACCTGTCATGCTTTTTTTTAGTGGACTCAACAATCTTTATCTTTTGCTGGCCTTACCTGTCATGCTTTCAGACGGCATGGCAATGAACGGCGCCCACATGCATTTGCCTGAGAGAAGAGCCGCCACCAAGTACCGATACGACGACTGGTGAGTGCACCAAGCACCGATACAACGACTGGTGAGTGCAGCAAGCACCGATATGACGACTGGTGGTGAGTGCACCAAGCACCGATACGACGACTGGTGAGTGCAGCAAGCACCGATACGACGACTGGTGAGTGCAGCAAGCACCAATACGACGACTGGTGAGTGCAGCAAGCACCGATACGACGACTGGTGAGTGCAGCAAGCACCGATACGACGACTGGTGAGTGCAGCAAGCACCAATACGACGACTGGTGAGTGCAGCAAGCACCGATACGACGACTGGTGAGTGCAGCAAGCACCGATACGACGACTGGTGAGTGCAGCAAGCACCGATACGACGACTGGTGAGTGCAGCAAGCACCGATACGACGACTGGTGAGTGCAGCAAGCACGGATACGACGACTGGTGAGTGCAGCAAGCACCGATACGACGACTGGTGAGTGCACCAAGCACGGATACGACAACTGGTGAGTGCAGCAAGCACCGATACGACGACTGGTGAGTGCAGCAAGCACCAATACGACGACTGGTGAGTGCAGCAAGCACCGATACGACGACTGGTGAGTGCAGCAAGCACCGATACGACGACTGGTGAGTGCAGCAAGCACCGATACGACGACTGGTGAGTGCAGCAAGCACCGATACGACGACTGGTGACTGCAGCAAGCACCGATACGACGACTGGTGAGTGCAGCAAGCACCGATACGACGACTGGTGAGTGCAGCAAGCACCGATACGACGACTGGTGAGTGCAGCAAGCACGGATACGACGACTGGTGAGTGCAGCAAGCACCGATACGACGACTGGTGAGTGCAGCAAGCACCGATACGATGACTGGTGAGTGCAGCAAGCACCGACTCATTCATTTATGATTTATCACTCTGTTTTTTAGCCGTTCCAGCATCAGGGGTACCTGTTCCCCCCTTATCCCCTTCCTCTCCCATTTTCCCTTCCCCCCCGCGCCCCTCCCCCCATCCCCCCCTCCCTCCCTCCTTTCCCCCCCTCATACCCACCATGGTTCCCCTCTCCCGTATCCCCCGCACCCATTGCCCCTCCCCCATCTTTCCGTGCATCAGGGACGAGGAGGTGGACCGGGGCCGGGTGAAGAAAGGTGAAGCGCTCCAGCATCAGGGGCACCTGTCCGATCCCTGTTTCTCTCCGATTGCCCCTTAACTCAAAGCCCCCCCTCACCTCCCCCGTCCCGTATCCCCCTGACCCATTGCCCCTGCCCCATCTTGCGTGCATCAGGGACGAGGAGGTGGACCGCGGCGGGTTGAAGAAGGTGAAGCGCTCCAGCATCAGGAGCACCTCCCCCCTCCTGTATCCCCTCACCCATCCCCTGCCCCCCCTGCCCCATCTTGCGTGCATCAGGGACGAGGAGCTGGACCGCGGCCGGGTGAAGAAGATGAAGCGCAAGGCGCACCCCACAGACGAGGCTGCAGATCACAGGAACCCCTTCCAGGAAGCTGCTCTCAGACCTGCTGGTGCTGGTGGGGAAGTTGGTGGGGATGAGGGTGGTGTAAGGGAGGCGCATGGGAAGAGGCCTGGGAGGTGGATGGGGCGGGACAAGGGCAGGCATGACAGCAACAGGCACGTGGCTAAGCTGAGGGGAAAGAGTGCCAGGCCCAGATGGTAGCTGGCTGGTAGTCTGTGATGGTAACTGCTGGGCCCGGATTGTAGCTGGTAGTCTGGCATGGTGGCCGATTGAGGATGATGCCTTCTTCCTGCCGGTTCTGATATAGGTGTGCAGGGGGCTGGTGTGCAAGAGCGTAGTGATGATGCTCGCACAAGAGATGGGTCCTCCATCATGCGCGATTCAGGTTCACTGTTGTGGCATCCCGCCATTATGCGAAATTTGTTACAGATTGATTCCTTCTATTCCGCCTATTTCCTTGCGGTGCCTCAACTGGCCAAATGTTGGGCGAAATCAAAAGAATGAAATTCTTCTTACCGCGTACATTGAGGTGCACGCAGCCTTCAAGATTCACTCGTGCCATGATGTCCACATTTTCAGTCCACGTGGACCTCTTCTGAAAGCCACCTCTCGGTCCTGGCCGCCATTTCACCTTCTGTAGTCTCGCATCAAACTACGCATTAGTGCGTTTCGTCGCACTGCACCACATCGCGTACTATCGCACAGTATCGCAGAGTGTAGGTCGTCACCATGGCTGTTGTGGCGACTAATGCTCTCCTTTCGCCCACGTTACTCCCCACACACCCAGTCCATACCCGAGCGCCACGTGGCATCTCAAAAAACAGTCCAGGTTCAGCCAATGGCCCTCGCGCCCACAGCTTTTCCCGCCAAAACTATCCGACACTCCTCGGCATCTCTCAAGTACCCGCACCGCGCGTCAATCGCGTAGCTGTAGCCGCCGCTACAACCTCGCCGTCCCAGGCTACCACCGCCCCCGGTAAATCCCTCCCTGATCGCCGCGTGTCGGGCTCCAATTGGTCGCAAAACCGTGGCAGCAGCGGGGGAGGGAGCAGCAGCAGCACTAGTACCGACGATGTCACCACCGTTGTACGCGATATAAGCGTTTCGTTGGAAGGGTACGACTCGTCGTTGGAGTACCTTCAAGAGCAGGACTCCTTCTCTCGCTACTCGGGCTACATCGCTCGGGCCGCGGGGCCGGGTGGTGACGAGTGGGCGGAGTACGATGCGCGCGCCATGGGAGAGTACTTCCGCGCGCGCCCGCTGCTGGTGGCGCGGCGGCTGGCGCAGATCGGCGCGGTGGCGGGCGCGTGGGCGGGGAAGCGGTGGGTGGACGCGAAGCTGGGGCGCGCGGAGGCGACGTTCAAAGAGAGGGCCGCCGAGCTCCGACAGGCGCTCGTGCTGCTGGGCCCGGTGAGAGCCGCGGGGGGGGCTAGTCAGTGCGGCTGGGGGTGGTGAGACGCGCAGTGCTGCCAGGACCGGTGAGACGCGCGGGGGGCTGAATCAGTGCGGTGATGGGGGCTCGTGCCTCCGGTACTGGTGACGGGGGCCTTGGGAGCGGTGAGAGATGCGGTGAGAGATGCGGTGAGAGATGCGGTGAGGGGTGAAGGAAGCTCGTGCGCCTGACTGTGTTGTACGCATAGGAATACCCTCTTGTGTGTGTTCCCACGCTCACTCACTCTCTTCCCATGGCACTCCGTAACTCTCTCACTCACCCTCCCCCCTCCACCTCCTTCCCAGCCCCAACATCCCTCCGCCTCCTTCCCAGCCCCAACATCCCTCCCCTGCTCCCGTCTCTCACAAAAATCACCTCTTTGAATTCGTCTCCCCTTTCCTCCCCTTGCCGTTACCCCCTCCCCCCCCCCTCTCCGCCACGCCACCTCCCGCCAGGCTTTCGTGAAGATCGCTCAGGCTGTCTCCTCCCGCCCGGTACGCCCTGGCTGCCCCTCTCGCATGTCTCTCGTCGTCCTCTGCTCCTCCCTCGTCGCCGCCGCTTGCTGTTCTGTTCCCCTCCTTCACTGCTCCTTGCCCTGCTCTACTGCTCCCCTTCCCCGCTGCAATCCTTCCAACCCCCCCCAGTAACTAAAGATGCCCCCATCAGCTCTTGCAAGATCCTACCAACGGCATCTGGCCATGATCAGCTCGAACCCTACCAACTCACCATCCCCCGCCGATCCCCACTTTCCCGCCCTCTAACCCCGCTCACGACGCCATCCCGCCCGCTTACGTGGACGAGCTGTCTCCCCTGCAGGACCGCATAGTACTTCCCCACTCACAACCCCCCCCCCCCCATACTCACAACTCCCCCCCATACTCACAACTCCCCCCCATACTCACAACTCCCCCCATACTCACAACTTCCCCCCATACTCACAACTCCCCCCCATACTCACAACAACTCCCCCCCATACCATTCTCACAACTCCCCCCCATACTCACGACTCCCACCCATACTCACGACTCCCACCCATACTCACGACTCCCACCCATATCCACGACCACCAATCCCCCCCTCTCCCCTCGGTCCTATTGTTGCCTCACTGCTGACGTTCTCCCCACCTCAGGACGTCATCCCGCCCGCCTACGTGGACGAGCTGTCCCTACTGCAGGACCGCATAGCGCCCTTCCCCACACGCACGGCGCTCGACATGATCGAGGCCGAGCTGGGCGTGCCCGTCGACCTCATCTTTGATGAGATCTCGCCCTCCCCAGTTGCCGCTGCGTCGCTGGGGCAGGTAACGACTGGGTCAGGTAGCAACTGGGGCAGTTCTGACCTCACTTGGGTGCTGAGCTCATGCAATTCAGGCGATGACTGCTAAGAGTCCGCTGACATCATCTCAGGCGATGACTGCTCAAACCCCCACTCAAGGAGCTCATCATCTCAAGGCGCTGACCCCCACTCAAGGAGCTCATCATCTCTCTCTCCCCCACTCCTCACACCCCCTCCCGGTTCCCTCCTCTTCTGCAGGTGTACCAAGCGCGACTGAGGGCGGGCGGGCAGAGGGTAGCAGTGAAGGTGCAGCGGCCGGGCGTGCGGGCGGCCATCGCATTGGACATCTTCATTCTGCGCATCCTTGCCGGCTGGCTAAGGCAGTACCGCCGCCTCAACACGGACCTCAAAGCCGTGGTGGACGAATGGGCCACCAGTCTGTTCAGGGTACTGCGGTGCTGTGTGTGATGTGATCTGATGTGGTGTGATGTGGTGTGCTGTGTGTGATGTGATCTGATGTGGTGTGCTGTGTGATGTGATGTGATGTGGTGTGCTGTGTGTGATGTGATCTGATGTGGTGTGCTGTGTGATGTGATGTGATGTGGTGTGCTGTGTGTGATGTGATCTGATGTGGTGTGCTGTGTGATGTGATGTGATGTGCTGTGCTGTGTGTGATGTGATCTGATGTGGTGTGCTGTGTGATGTGATGTGATGTGGTGTGCTGTGTGTGATGTGATGTGATGTGATGTGGTGTGCCATCATGCTATGCCATGTGACTTGGAGGGTGGGTGCGGCAGTACCGGCGCCTCAACACGGACCTCAAAGCCGTGGTGGACGAATGGGCCACTAGCCTGTTCCGGGTACTGTGATGTGTCGGCCATGTGGTGGGATGGGATGGTATAAGATGGGATGTGGTGTGTATGTGGCATGTAGCATGTGCTGTGTGGCTTGGTGGGGTGGCTAAGGCAGTACCGGCGCCTCAACACGGACCTCAAAGCCGTGGTAGACGAATGGGCCACCAGTCTCTTTAGGGTACTGCGGTGCTGTGCTATGTGTGATGTGATGTGGTGAGGTGTGCTGTGTGAGTTGGAGGGTTGGCTGCGGCAGTGCCGGCAGTAGCCTGTTCAGGGTACTGCAGTGTGATGGGATGGGATGGGATGGGATGTGAGGGGGTGTTAATGGATGTGACTTGCTCATCGATCAGTTGTGGCAAGGCATTAGACTCACATTCCGTCTCGTGATACGGAAAACCAAACCATGGCATCTTCTGCTGTCTGTCCTGTTCTGCTCGGCTCGGCTCTCCCAGGAGATGGACTACGAGCAGGAGGCGACTTATGAGTCGACTCAAAAGTCATCTTCTGCTGGCTGTCTGTCTGTCTGTCTGTCTGTCTGTCTGTCTTGCCCGGCTCGGCTTTGCCCTCTCAGGAGATGGACTACGAGCAGGAGGCGCAGAATGGAATCAGATTCGCGTAAGTGTGCGCTCACTCATGCTGTGTGATCGTTACCGATTGCTGCTGAAGTTTAACGCAGCCCTAAACCCCTTATCTTCTCTCCTGCCCACTACCTCCCCCTTACTCCCATCGAGCTGTTTCAGCGCATAGACAAGTTAGTGGTGCCGCACATGTAGCCTGAGCTCACCGTGCCGTTGTTTCGTGGTAGCCCTTTTCTCTCCATGTCCTTCATCCTTCCCCTTTGTGTCGATTCCTCTTCCCCCGCCCCCCAGCGAGCTGTTTGGCCGCATAGACAAGGTGGTCGTGCCGCGCATGTATCCCGAGCTCACCACCCGCCGCGTGCTCATCATGGAGTGGATCGATGTGAGTTGCTTGTAGCGGATCCATGCACGATGCTTATAGCGGAGAGATGTATTTTGCGAACAGTGAATTGGTGTAAGCCTGTAAGGTGCTTGATAAGGTTAGAGCCCACAATGGGTTGGTGGTAACGTGCATGACAGATCAATTTTGTTATGGATTAATGTAAGATACCTTAAGTGATGATTCCATCCCCCTCGCACTCTCTCTCCCCTCCCCTCCGTCCTTGGTCTTTCAGGGCCAGCGCTTGGCTGACAGCAAGGATGTGAGCCTCGTTGAGGTGAGAGGCTGGTCCGGGTGAGAGGCTGGTCCGGGTGAGAGGCTGGTCCGGGTGAGAGGCTGGTCCGGGTGAGAGTGCTCTCCCCTTGTTGACTGTTCCTTGTACTTATTGCGAATCCAAGGAATGGTGCAACTGTAAATGAAGAGACCGAGGCTCCCTGCTCCACCTCTCTCTCTTTCTCCCTCCTACTGTCTGCTCCTCTCTTTCCCTGTCAATCTCACTTGTCCACTTCTCCCTTTACTTGTCCCTCCTCCCCCCTCTCGCCCCTCCAGGTGGGCGTGTAGTGCTCGCTATCTCATTAGCATCCTTTGCCTGTTCTCCCCTCATGGCCCTCTCACCTCCCTCTGACCCCTCAGGTGGGCGTGTACTGCTCGCTGTCTCAGCTGCTGGACTACGGCTTCTACCATGCAGACCCGCATCCTGGAAACTTCCTGCTCACCTATGATAACAAGCTCGCGTATCTGGGTAAGCTGGCAGATACATACAAGAGCCAGCCCGTTGTGCAGGTGTACTTGGCTAAGTTGGCAGATACTTAGGAGAACCAGCCCGCTGTGCTTCTCATCCGTGTCAACTTCCTTGCGTCCTTTGCTGACCAGGCGTTGGCGGCAGCATGAAACTTAATTGACGGAATGGAGAGGGTTTGAGTCGA